GGAGTGTTAGGCCACCGGGGCGGGGACGCGAACCACGGTCGACTATGTGGGAGTCCAGCGACATAGCCATTACGCTAACTGCTGGTTCCCACAGAGCATCGGTTTTACTGCTGGGCCACCATCCAGCTCCCTTTTTATATTTTAAAGTTTATTTATTTATGTTTATATATTTACATTTGTTTAAGAATTTTTTTTTCATTTACTATTTTTATTTTTTTAATTAACTATAGGGCGGGACCAGCATTTGGTATAATGACTATGTCGCTGGACTCCCATGTAGTCGACTGCGGTTCGAGTCCTTGACCGGGAGGCTTAAACTCACGCCAGGTATGTGTGTGCGTGCGCCCAAGATCCAAAGAAGAGAATGGAGGAGAAGGGATTGCGGCATAGCCATCCCTCCTGGAGGGGGATTTCTCTTTTTGCTATAGGGCATATGCACTCACCAGAGAGAAAGAGAGAGAAAGTGAGAAAGCAAACCATCAGGTCTAGATTCGAACCATGTTCGGCCATGTGGGAATCTAGTGCCTTAACCACCATGACACCATATATATACATATATATGTATATATATATTTAGAGAATTATTTATTTTATTTTACTTATTATTATCATTTTCCACATGTGCTCACATGTGAAGAGAGAGAGAGAGAAAGATAGAGAGAAAGCAAGTTGCCAGGTCTGGGACTCAAACTGCAGTCGGTCACATGGGAAGTTGAGCACCTTAACTGCCATACCACCTACTGGCCCTGTTTATATATATTTAAATATTTGTTTTGTTTTCTTTTTCTTTCTTTTTTTTTTTTTTTTAGAGGTTTTTGCTATAGGGTGTGTGCGCTCACCAGACAGACAGAGAGAGACAGAGAGACAGAAAGCGAGAAATCACCCCCTAGGGGGGATGGCCACACCGCAATCCCTTCTCCTCCATTCTCCTCTCGGGATCTTGGGCACGCATGCACACGCGCCTGGTGTGAGTTTAAGCCACCGGGTCTGGGACCCGAACCTCAGTCGAGCACATGGAAGTCTAGCGACATAGCCATGACATCCCCCCTTCAGTGACTCTGAAATGCCGTGTAACCAACACGATTTCCCAGTGCCCCCAAGCAGCAGAACCTCTGGACTTTCTCAATGCCCAATTGTCGGCTCACGTGTTGCCTTCTGGATGAGCTGATTTCCGAGTCTGGCAAACATTCGAGCCTGCTCTGCCTTGTAGGCTGCCTGAAGAGCCTGAAAGCTTTGCTGAAGGACGACGACGACATGGTGCGGATCAAGACCACCGAGGTGCTCTACATCATGGCGACCCACAACGTGGGCAGGTGGGCAGCCGTCTCTGCAAACCACTGTCATTCTTTGAACCTGCGGTCCCCCCAGGGTGGATGCCCTTGAAAGATCTGGTGCACACTGGATTTTTAGCTGGAGGACCCTCCGTGGGTCTTTTATGGACTCTTTTTTTTTTTTTTTTGGAGAGGTTTTCGCTATAGGGCGCATGCACTCGCCAGACAGACAGAGAGAGACAGAGAGACAGAAAGTGAGAAATCACCCCCCAGAGGGGATGGCCATGCTGCAATCCCTTCTCCTCCATTCTCCTCTCGGGATCTTGGGCACGCGCGCACACGCACCCGGCGTGAGTTTAAGCCAGTGGGGCTGGGATGTGAACCGCGGTCGGCTACATGGGAGTCCAGCGACACAGCCATTACACTAACTGCTGGTCGCTTTTATGGACTGTTTGTGGGGTGGTTCTGGTTGCCTCCGTTGGAGCCTAATAGGGCTCTTGGTTCCAGACCAATTTTATTTTATTTTATTTTATTTTATTTTATTTTATTTTATTTTTTTACTTATTTTTAGGTTTTTGCCATAGGGTGCATGTGCTTGCCAGAGACAGAAAGTGAGAAATCATCTCCCAGTGGGGATGACCCATGTTCCCCATGGGACTTTTGACATGCAAGCATGCCCTGTGAGATTTCAGAGTTGCTAGGTCCAGGACCTGAACCGTGGTCAGCCATGTGGGAATCTAGCACCTTAACCACCATGTTACCTGCTGGCCCCCAGACCAGCAGGTAGTTCTCAGTTCTGGGCATCCAGTCCCGATTTGAGAGTGGAAAGTTCAGATCCCACATCTGCCACAATCTTGCCTTTTCTTGGCTGCTTTCTGCTGTTTTCGGGATGTTGGCACACGTGCACATACTCCTGGCATGTTTTTTTTTTTTCTTTTTTTTTTTTTTTTCTTTAGGGGGGGTGCCCTTTCCAGA